TGTTTTTTCTAAGTTATGTGAGCTATTATGAGGGGTTTTTAAGGGATGAGAAATTTTTTCTTATGGAATGAGAAACTATTTTTGAGCTTTTTCTATAAAATTGGTATAATAATGATATTTAAAATTTTGAAGGTTCTACAATTAACCAATAAACGTGATATCAACAGATTTGAGTGAATGTCTAAAAAGTTTTGTATATCTCACATGGATTTTTTTTCAAGGAAATTGATCAGCATTTTTTTAGAACCAGATTTACTAATAAATGATCATGTGCTGGACTGTATCCTTAAAACTTACTTTGATTACTCCTACATAAAACTATTGAATAATTAATAAAATGTTTGTTAGAATATTTTGTTCATAGATAGATCTTGTCCTTAAAACTTACTTCGATTACTCCTACATAAACTATTGAATAATTAATAAAACATTTGTTAGAATATTTTGTTCATAGATCTTGTTCTTCATACTTACTTTGATTACTCCTACATAAAACTATTTGTTAGAATATTTTGTTCATAGATCTTGTCTTAAAACTTACTTTGATTACTCCTACATAAATTATTTAATTATTGATAAATGTTTGTTAGAATATTTTGCAAACTTCATAGATCTTGTCCTTAAAACTTACTTCAATTACTCCTACACAAACTATTGAATAATTAATAAAACCTTTGTTAGAATATTTTGTTCATAGATCTTGTCCTTAAAACTTGCACAAACTATTAAATAATTGATAAAACGTTTGTTAGAATATTTTGTAAGCTTCATAGATCTTGTCCTTAAAACTTACTTCAATTACTCCTACACAAACTATTGAATAATTAATAAAACCTTGTCCTTAAAACTTGCACAAACTATTAAATAATTGATAAAACATTTGTTAGAATATTTTGTAAGCTTCATAGATCTTGTCCTTAAACTTACTTATACAAACTATTGAATATTTGATAAAACATTTGTTAGAAATAGTTTGTTCATAGATCTTGTCCTTAATGCTTGTACAAACTATTGAATAATTGATAAAACATTTGTTAGAATATTTTGAAAGCTTATAAATCTTGTCTTAGCACTTACTTCGATCACTCCTATACTAACTGGGTCTTATCATCCTCAACAAACGATGATTCATTGTCATCATTGCTACTAATTATAATTAGGGATGGGAAATTGCATGAAATTTCAAAATTTCATGTGCATGATGCGCATCATGCGCATTTTATGCAGTGCATTTTTTTTTTTTTTAAGAAAAATCACTCAACATTATATTCAGCATTACTACTTTTAATATTTTTTAATGCATTATTTATTCATTATTAAAAATATATGAAAATTAAATGTTTACAGATAATTCATTTTCATCATCACTGTCAATATCACTATTATCAACATTATCAACATTGTCATCACTATCATCAACAGTATCATCACTATCATCATCAACAGTACCATCACTATCATCAATATCTTCATCTACATTTGTAACTTTACTTATCTTTGGGGTTTTCAATTTATTATTAAAATATATATAAACTAATTTAAAAATGCAATCATTTGTCAATTTATTTTGTTTTTTATCATGTATATAAGAAAATGTAGACCAATTCCTTTCTGCTGCAGCTGATGAGGTAGGAATAGAAAGAACTCTTACTGCAACTTTTGTCAATTCAGGTGCCACAGCTCCAAAATTGCCTTTCCACCAGGTTAATAAATCCACATTATTGATGGATACCCATGCCAATGAGTTTCCAAATATACCACTACGAGCTTTATATTGTAAAAATTGTTCCCAAATTTTAATAGAGTCATTGGGATAATATTTGATAATAAAATTTGACAATAAAGTCATGCCTTCTTCGGGCAATTTATGTTCAGAAATCCCAGGATTAAGAAGATAAGCAACTAACATTACTGGATCATATATTTTTTCCCATCTTCTTTTAATAATATCTTTTATTTGATTATCAAAATTTACTATATATATAAAAAACAAAAAATAATTATTAATAATTACATAAAATTACAATAAAAATTATATATATCTAATATCAATCCAAGTAAATTACTTTGAGTATCTAAAAGATTCTGATGATACCATTCATAAAAATGGCCCAATTTTGGTTCATCAGATTCAAATAATTTAATACCAATAAACACTTTATCCAAAATGTTATGAATTGAAATTATACTATCCCAAAATTCTTCATCTTGAATATATAACTTTATATCAATATCTATATCACAAGATAATTCTGTGACAGCTAATTCTAAAGGCAATCGATTCTTTATTAATGAATCCAGACACATAACAGAAGACCCCCACCTAGTTATTACTGGTAATTTTAATGAAACTTGATGTTGATTATTATTTTGTTGATGTCTTTTAAAAACAGCTAATGGAATATTATGTGATTTAAAAAATTTTACAATATTTTTACTTTTTTTTTTTAAAAAGTCAGCAACTCCATCTAACTTGATAATATCACCAATTAAGAGATTCAAATTATGTGAAATACAACCTATATATATTATGGATGGATATTTATTCATTAAAATATGCCATGCCTTCTTCATCACTTTTGCATTATCTGTTACCAGTGAAGAAAGTTTATTTATATCTAATATCTTAATTGTCTCTTCAAGATCAGCTGCCACATTTTCAGCTGTTTGATGAATCTCTCCAGTAGTATGAGCATTTATAAAAACAGGTGCAGGAGTGGTTAAAATACAATTTACCCAATGTTCACAAGTAATACTTGACCTCAAATTTTAAAAGTTTTTAATTTTATTTGAAAAAAAAGAATATATTTATTTATAAAAATAATTAAGATTTACCATCCATCAGAAACCAAACTATAATATTCAGCTTTCTCTATTAATTCATCAACTTCTTGTTTAGTTTCTTCATATACAATATCTAGTAAAGTGGTGGAAATCTTTTTCCTCCCAGGTAATTTGAATGCAGGACGAGCTTTTTGCCACAAATTTTTTATTGATTCTAATTCAGACAGTGAAAGAAATAAGCCACACTGAAAAATTGATTTAGCAAATAATAATTCTAATTCATCTTGTTATTCTATCAATGAAATTACTTATTGAATGATTTTGCAAATTAGTTGAAATTGTAGTTATAGTTGATGATGATGATGATGATGATGATGATGATGATGATGATGATGATAATAATGATGATAATGGTGGTGATGATGATGATGTTATTGGATGGGTTCGTCCAAATATAGATTGCATGATAGAAACAGGTACAGAATTACATTTCTTCAAATGTTGTTTACACCTTCCAAGAGCTTTGTTTAACTCATAGTTACAATATTTGCAACTTGCTCTATTTTGCTTATAACCACTAACTTTACCCAATCTGGTAAAATGAGACCAAATGTCTGAATTTGACATTTTTAAAAAATAGTATAAATGTTTTACAGGTATAAAAAATTAATTAAAATGTAAAATGCGTGTTTAATTTTAATTGGGTAAAATTTAATTTCCGCATTTTCTGTATGTGACATTGCATGATTTAAAAAAAAATCATGTGCATGATGCGCATGATGCAATGCGCATTGCATTTTTTTCATGTGCATGGAACATCTCTAATTATAATATTACAGTTCACTCTCTCTATAACAAACCCTCTGTTCCTATATGTAATTTTTTTGCTTTTGGTTGTTATAGAGAGAGAAATTAATTATAAAAAATTGAAACTGGGACAAAAGGGAAGTTCATTATAGATAAATTTTACTTGGTGGTTGCTATAGAGAGGGTCATTATAGAGAGAGTGAACTGTATTAATATTATTGATTGATGGATCTTCGCAGGACCCCGGAAACTACATAGATAGGTTACCCTAAAATTTTCAAAATTTACTAATGAGTTTACCCAATATTTTTTA